GATATTCATGTGATCATTACTGGCTGATAGAATATAAAATGTTAAAGGTGAAAGAATCCACTAAGCATTGCATGATCAAGAGTTGCTGTTGATATAGTCACTACAGCTCCTAAGGCCCATTTATACCATCTTTATGTGTTAGCATGTGATAAAACGCACATTAAAGCAACATATACTACTGTATCAAGCATAGCACAATGTATTACAGTGCCATTCAAATTGAAGGTATATTTAGAACACACCCGTGCTACAACACACTGCAGTGCACCACAATACATGATGTGTGTTGTCTGCTGCAGTGAAAAGAAGGAGCGAGCTTCCTTGTGCTGGGGCCAATTCAAAATCATAAAGTTGACTTGAACACTATAGCACTTTCTTTTTGCACTTGGGACTTTTTATTTATACCTTTTGGATTTTTTGGACTTTATATATTACTTTTATCATGAATTATTATTTGATTTATTAATTGGCACAAATATAGGAGTATTTACAATTTTCATCAATTGTTGATTTATTTATATTATTTTTCAAGCACCGAGCACTTTTTTAATTAGTATTAGAGCGCGGTAATTATTGAATTAATTGCTCTGCGGCACGTTACTTCAACACGTCATAGTGTGAACCTAAAAGTCTTACACATGTGGAAAACTTGTTGTTTCTTTGGAGAAGGCTTATACATAGGACCCCATAAGAAACGTGTCAATGTCCAACTAGAGAACAGATTTAGGGACAGCTATTTTTAAAGTTCAATAAAGCAATAGTAAACCACCACAGAAAAAACAAAAAACAAAAAAAAGTTGTGCCCCTGCAGGTTCAAATAATATATGCACCACATACTAGCACATCATGACAGCACAGCGCTGTCACGGCTCCCGGGCGCATCCATCTTTACTCTGGCTTGCTTCCACGTTCGCTGACCCCGGCTGTATCAATGGCCAGGGCCACGATGACTTCACTCCCATGTATGAGCACAGGAGCCCCAGACCCCAAGCTCTGAAGGTACAGAACACTTATGCAGTCTTTTCAGAGCGCATGTGCCGATTATATCTCTGGCTGCTTGCTGTGCGAATCTCTCATAGAAAAGTGCAAGTTTAGGGGATATTATTATTATTATTTTATTACTTTTATACAGTATTTATATAGCGCCAGTTTGCGCAGCGCTGTACATTACAATGGGAGACAGTACACGAGACAGTACAGTAACAATACAGCTCGATACATGAGAGGTTCGAGGGCCCTGATCCTTGCAGCTTACAATCTAGGAGGGAGGGGATAGTGGTACAGGAGGAAATAGCTGTGGGGGATGGAGTGGTAGGAAGAGTGGAGGAGATCGGCAATTAGCTGAAGGCGGGGTAGGCTTCCCTGAAGAGATGGGTTTTCAGGGTGCGCCTAAAGGAGAGCAGAGAAGGTGATAGTCTGATGGATTGGGGTAGGGAGTTCCAGAGGATGGGGGAAGCCCTGGAGAAGTCCTGGAGACGGGGAGGAGGAGACCAGGGATATTCACTGTACCTACAGGTAAGCCTTATTATTGGCTTACCTGTAGGTACAAGTTAAAAAGTGGACTTTACTTGCACTGTAATATATATGTCACCCAAGCGTTAAGAACTTTAACCCTGTGCTAGGGCAGACAGTGCGCACATCCAGCTTACAACTGATACCGAGATCTTCCAGGACAGTTAAAGTGTTACTAAACCCCGGACCCTGCATTCACTATATCTGGTCTCCCACAGTACACAGAACATGGAACTGCAATTATTTTAGTAAATATAAACTGCTAAATACCTTTTCTCATCAGCAGTATATAGTAGTCTTGTGACTTCACCTGAGCACTGGTTAAATATTGTAGGAGGAGTTTTCCCCAGGAAGATGCAAAACCGCTGACCTCTGTGTGGACAGTGCTGATAGGCCCTGTGCTGAGCACATGCACTCTCCCAAGAAAAAAAAGCCTCTCTAGCAATGCACACTAAAGTGAGTATGTGCAGAAGATCTACGGATTCAGTCTGTCTTATCAGCATGGACATTTGAACAAGAGGAGGGGCAGAGAAGAAAGGATCAAATTTACACAATGCAGATGATTAACCCCTTAGGTTCCACAGTGAGTATAACAAGCATACTTTACTGTATATACAGACTGATTTTACTGTTGTGGGTTTAGTAACACTTTAACCTCCCTGGCAGTATGATTCTTTCCGATTTTTTGTGCTGAAAGCGGTACCATTTTTTTATGGAAATATGTAGTTTTTTATTATAGGCTGTAATTTTTAGGAATAACTCACTGAAATCTGTCCGAACAAGAGTCTATTAAACATTCCGGATATGATAACATTTGAAACACGAAATCATAAATTATAATTTAATAAATAATCATAAAAATTAATAATATAATAATAAATTTAATTCAATAATATAATCAAACCAAAGACACTGAAATTTGAAAATACAGAGGCAAATTCGCACATCGCTGAGCAAAGTCGCAAAATCGTTTTCAGTGTCTGATGACGAATTTCCCCACAAATCATTATCACTCAATTCTGCAAGTGGTTCTGATTTACTATCGCTGTTCTAAAACCGCTTTTGACGTAAAGGGACGCTTTTTGGACGCCATGGACTTTTTTAAGTTTCCAGGCAGAAAGAACAGTAAAAATGCAGGCAGGGCACAGGACAAAGCAGTAGGGACAAAATGTATGTGAAATGCATTGAAATAGCAACGACAGCAAAAATGAAATTTTTTAAAAAATTCAAATTTCCTGCCGGTTCCGGCGCCCGTACGTCCCGACGTCACAGGGACCGGAACACAGGAGCCGGATGCCGGCAACGGCCGGAGGAGATGGCCAGGGACACTGGAGGGGACACATCGTGGGAGCGAAGGACAAGGAAAGTGCTGCAGGGACCCCCAGAACAGCGTCGCATGGTAAGCCCGAGTGTAGCTCGGGGTTACCGCTTTTGGTATAGAAATTTTACCCCGAGCTACACTCGGGAACACCGCTAAGGAGGTTAAGTTATTACGATAAAAATTAAAGTGGTTCTAAAGGCTCAAGGTTTTTTACCTTTATGTATTCTATGCACGAAAGTAAAAAACCTTCTGTGTGCAGCCCCCTCCCAATCCTTACTTGAGACCCCTCCGATTCGGCAACGTTCTTGACAGCCTCTGCTGTCTGGGGACTCTTCCTCATTGGATGAGACAGTAGAGGGAGCCCACAGGCTCCTACTGCTGTCAATCACAGTCCGTGAGCCAATGAGGAGAGAGTGGGGGGCGGGGCCAAGCCACGGCTTTATGTGTCTTATGGACGCATAGAGCAGTGGCTCAGGGAGGAGCAGGCAGCGTGCCCCCAGGGCAAGCAGTTTTCCCTGGGGGCACTGCTCAAGGGGGAGGAGCCAGGAGTGCTGGGGTGGAGCTGAAAAGAAGAGCATCGGGGCTACTCTGTGCAAGATGGGTAAATATAGACATGCTTGTTAATTTTTATTTTTTTTTTTCAATGAAGCTTTACATATTGGCCCTAGTATGTGTATGTATAAATGTAAGTTAGGGACCATAGGTTGTACACCCCTTGAGGATTAGGGACTGATGTGAATGTGAATAAATGTTAGCAGTTGACAAGAGCAAACCTGCTATAAAGTGGTGCATTACAAATCCTAATGTGAATGTACAATATATATGTAAAGCACTGCGTAAACTGACGGTGCTATATAAGTACCTGAAATAATAAATATAATAATAATAATAACAACAATGGATGGCACCATTAATATGGAAAAAATCGCATATCATCACCACATCACATTATGTAATCTGACTTTATTGTAAAGTCATCAAATGAGGCAACATCAACGTTTTGGGGACACAGATAGGCTGACAATCTACATTGTTTACAGTGGTGCCCAATGATTTTAAAGTCCACCTTTCTGGCCATGGCCCATATTTTGGGTGTAACATGAAACAGTCATAATCTGCACTCCCCGCCACCCCCAGCTGAATCCTGGGGTTCTTCTCTCTGCAGATTCCTGTTATTTTCTTTAATTCAGTGCATAAACCATTTACAAGGATTTGTGAATGAGGAAACTACAAGTCCCATCTTCCACTGCAGCAGAGGGACCATGGTTCTCAATGGAACACAAGCACAATGACCACACTTTTAGTCCTGTGAGAGTTCCTCCATAGTCTTTGGGAGCCTGAGCTTTGCTCCTGCCATCCATTGATCACAGTTGCAATGCTTTGTTGGCTCCACTGATAAATATTATTAAATACACACTTTTTGTAGAAGAAAAAATATGGGTGCATTTATTAATTTTTTGCAAAAGGTGGAAACCTAGTTCATGCCGCAGCATGTAAAACACTAGTCAGACAAGTATTATTACACCAAGCATTTACAATGCTCTCACCAAGCTTCTAAATGCTTTCCAAATGCTTGTTGAAGCTGATGCTCTTTAGCATTTACAAGATAAGATTAAACAATGCCTGTGTGTTTAAAGAGAGATTCCAGCCAACAAGTGAAATCAATCAGAGCTGTGAGTGTTTCCCAGGAAACAATCCAGCCGTGCTAAAATCAGAAAGAAAACGATTATCCAATTAACTTAAAGAGGAACTCCAGTAAAAAGCTAAATACTGTACACAGCTGACGCACACAGCAGTTGTTTCACCTGCCAAAGGAACTTTTTTCTGTTCACTTGGACATGGGACTTACACAACCCTTCAAGATGGCAGCATTTAGGGAGGTGACCTACAATCAAGCCCCTCAGTCACATCAAGCCCAATTTTGAAATCGTGCGATCTTAGATTGTACACCCCTTGAGGGTTAGGGACTGATGTGAATGTACAACATCAAGGGCGGACTGACAACTCATGGGGCCCCCGGGCAATAGGGGATCATGGGGCCCCTGTGTCCTCACCCACACTCAAACCACACCCAAAAAAGCCTATGAAAGGTACCAGGGGCATCTCATGTGGCCCCCTACTGACCCAGAGTTCCCAAATGGTCAGTCCGCCCCTGCGTGCGACTTACAGTGAAGTCGTATGATTTCAAAGTCGGGTGACTTACCGATTTTAGGTGCGATTTGCAAGACATCTGACACAGATGTCTATGTAAATCGCACCAAAAGTAGTGCATGCACTCCTTTAGAAATCGGAACCTCACCAATATGACCGCTCTAATAGTGGACAATAGGGTGCAACTTGGCATACGATTTGCAAGTCACATAGCATAAAAATCGCATTCCAAGTCACACTCGATGTGACCGGGGTGTAAAGCTGAAGTTTAGATAGGGCAATTTTTACATAGTTACATGCTTAGACCAATGGAAGGGTTTTTCTGCAGTTGGACCAATGGAAGGGTTTTTTTGCAGTTGGACCAATGGAAGGGTTTTTCTGCAGTTGGACCAATGGAAGGGTTTTTCTGCAGTTGGACCAATGGAAGGGTTTTTTTGCAGTTGGACCAATGGAAGGGTTTTTCTACAGTTGGACCAATGGAAGGGTTTTTTTGCAGTTGGACCAATGGAAGGGTTTTTCTGCAGTTGGACCAATGGAAGGGTTTTTCTGCAGTTGGACCAATGGAAGGGTTTTTCTGCAGTTGGACCAATGGAAGGGTTTTTCTGCAGTTGGACCATAGAAGTATGTATATGCCGTACCTGGCTGATGCCCTTGGAAGCTGGAAATCACTGTAGTAGAAACCCCTTGCACAGTAATCTCTGCTAGCTCCTGGGTCTTGTGGCACCATTATTAATTGGTTAAAGGGGAGCTCCACCCAAAAAGGGAAGTTCCACTTTAAGGACTGGTCCTCTGCTACCCATTAAGGATTGGCACCTTTAGGGAGCAGGGGGGAATGGGTACCCAAAACTGACAGGTATCCGCTCGCCTAGGCAATTGGAAGTGGATGTTGTCTCCAACCCCCTCGTAGTCTTCTGAGACATGTGACAGGTCCCAGAAAACTACGGGACCATTCAGAAAGCGCAGCGCTTCTCCTGCATGAGCAGGGGGCACCCAGCTGTGAAGCTGTAACAGCCGGGTGCCCATACTGAAGATGCCAGTGCTGGGGACACAGGACGGCCAGTGAAAGGTTGTGGGGAAGACACCGTGGAATCGAGGGACAGGTAAGTGGCTGTTTTTGTAGCTGCTGACTTATTTTTTTACAATTTCACTGAAACTCCACTTTATTTAGAAGCAACAAATAGGATGAGGAGGGCAGTGGCAAGGTGCTTACTTAAAAGAGAAGTATGGTTTTTTTTTTTTTTTTCCAAATCATACTTACCTAGGTGAATGCAGCATTGGTCCGATGCTGCATCTTCCCCCCCGCCGGCTCTAAGGGTGAGAACTCGGTGATCACACGACCACTGAACACTGAATTCTCACTGCTGCTGTGAGCAGAGAGTGGTGACTGTCAGTCACCGCTCTCTGCTCTGCCCCCCAAGCGCTCACAGGAGTCCTACGCTGTAGAGGGGGAGGGAGCAGCTGGCTCAGGCTCTCAGCAGATCGCTGAGGGGCTGAGCCAGGTGCCACTCCCGACTCTGGGGTGGATTCTGACCGTAAAGTCGGGATCCTTCCCCAGCCTGGACCGGCTGAGTGACATCAGCCGACAGTGGGCTTCTAAGTCTTAATAACACAGGTAACTTAATGTTACCAGAGCAGCATCTGAATGAAGAGGGTGTCTGACAGGCATAGGAGCAGTGCACAGACACTTAGCAGACCAATGGAAAAAAAAATTTCAGTAAACAGCAGGACAGCCGCTTGGGACCCGGAATCATTGTAAATATATAAAAATGGCTGTATATAAACTTCAGCTTTAAGCTTCATGCACACAAGCATATTAAAATAATCCTATTTACGTTGGACTAGGAGCGTCAGAAACATTCATCATTGAAATGTTAATTTTGACACATAACTATGCGTGTTTATTGGTATAATACACTCAGAAGCATATGCATATAAACTCTGACAGCCTTGGGAAAAAGAAGCATGAATTTATCACATGGAGGCATTCTGGGAGCTAAACTGAGGCCAGAGTGTTTATACTGAAATCACTCCATTCTCAGTGCAGGGCCGCCTTGTGCCACTGGTTGCTAGGATGCTGTCGGCTACACAGTGTCACTGGTTGCTAGTATGCTGTCAGCTGTGTAGCAAACAGCATCCTAGCAACCTGTGATACTGTGTAGCTTACAGCCTCCTAGCAACCACTGACAGGTGGGAGGGTTGGCACACAAAGACGTATGCACGCTTCATCCCAACTTTGAGCCCTCTGGCCTGTCTCTGTACGCCAACATAAAGTTGGTCTTAATATCCTTCAGTTTCCTTATTTACAAATTAAAGGCAATTCCTCTTTTGTATTTTCTTGCAGGCATAGCATAGAAGAAAATGTTTTGTCATTCTGTTCAACTGCATTTGTAATTCACACTGTACAGCCAGATAGTAAATATCCATTTCCAGGTCCAGCTTTACAGTTACGTGTGTCACCCCCGTGCTTTTTGGCCAATGAGTCAGAAATGTGACCATGCAGATTAATGGTACAACAATCAGACTGCATGTGAGGGGGTAACACAGGAAGTAAGGGTTGTCAAATTCCAGGTTGTCAAGTATGGCAGATGTAGGTGACAGGTGTGTATTGTGGTTACATTTATACTTCAAAGCTGATCTACAGGCACAAAAATATTAATTTGTAGATATTTCTCAATAACCATGTTGACTATAGTCCACTTTGTGTGCACCAATGCCTTTGTTAACCCAGATATTATTATATAAAGGTAGTGTTGACATAATCACTGTGCTGTACAGAGAGCAGAGCTGTGAGAGGGGCCCAGCAGGTCCACCCACTACAGGCTGCCTGCAGAAAACTACAGGAGGGGGCAGTGACAAGACCAGTCACCCTACACAAGGAGAAAGAGCAGCACTGCCTGGTCTTTATTACAGGAAGTTCCTGCACAGAGGAAAAGTTTCAATCTGGATTACTGCACACATCTAAAAAGAAACACACAAAGCACCAAGACTGAAGTAAGAATATGCACGGCTCTTGTACTTAAGACAGACAGTTTTGCCTTTCCTGGAGTTTAGCTTTCACAGTAATAGAAATCGCTTGGCGGGTAACAATTTCCATATGTATATTTAATTTTGTGTTCCCCAGCAACAAAGTATATTGGCTATGTAACTGTCTAGATCTGGAGAAAAAAATGCAGTCATTGGATTGTCACAATTCCTTCTTTAGCTGTGCTGATCATAATCGTTACTGTTCAGAATTGGTTTGCATAACTGGTACAGCTGTCACAGCCAAAACATAAGTAGATTGTGTTCCCCCATGTTGGTCTACAGAGAAGCTGGAGGTGTTATGTCTATGTTGTAGCTATGGCTCCGGGATTGTTGATGCACAGCGGAACTCTTAAGAATGACAGAAGCTCTGTTTATGCATGTAGCAATTATTTTTACAACCTTAACTGATTTACAGTTCACCCAACAACAAAAAACTAAAGCTCTACAATGTAGTAATATCAGGGTTCTGGGGGAAACTCTAGCTTCCAGTTGGCTGAAGCTGTACTCCGAGCAGACAAAAGAGACACAAATTATGAGTTTGTCCCAAGGTGACAAGTTGGAGACAGTGTCAGGAGGGCAGTACATGTCATTCATATACTACATAACAGCATAAAATCCCTGGCATTCCTTTATCTATTGACATTTAAAAGACCTGACTCTTTATCCTAGGCCTACCTCATGTTCTGAGAGCCCATCTTCGGGGAGTCCATTCTGCGATTCAGCACTGCGGTTGTGTGATATGCAGGGTATCATTCACAGCCATTTACCACTGCATGTGCCAGGGATGTCCGTTATCCCGAATCTTGTTCATTTTGTCTTTATTGACCCTGGCGCTTATCATTAGGGAATACCCAGACACTGGGGGGAATGTTTATGTGAGTCTTGACCATAAACTATGTCTATTCATGAATGACAGGCTTCTCATGCTACCAATCAGGATCAATTTATCCAGTTCTCTGGGCTTAGGGTCAACCATGCCAAGTCCAAGACGCTTGACTATTTGGGAGCGAAGCTTACGCCACCTAGTTTGTCTTAAACTACTATCTTTTACTTCCTACCCTAGCCACCTTCTTGCAAAAATTGGAACTTACCTTACCTGTCATGGCTATGGCTAGGCTATAAATGAGATGAAAATGACTCTACTGTCTAAGATTTTTTATCACTTTTGAGCCCTTACCATATGGGTCCCACCCGGTACCTACGATTGCTCAAACACCAAATCCTCTCATGTACAGTATATACTTGCATACATTTCCTAGAACTGGCCTGCAGTACTCTCTACATACTGTACATAAATTCCAGTTGGGTCTTAGTATAGTTAATGCCAACAAATATCACAAGGCGGCCCAAATTGCCCCACTCTTGACAATACTCTAGACTCCAGCTTGCTCCCTATGGGTTTTTCTGGGGGTCCCGAACTTTGATCCTGTTCCAGTCTCTGTCCCTCTTGCTGAGTCCACCTGATACTTCATAGCTGAAAAGCATGGAACACAGTTTGGCACTCCATCAAACGCCAGTCCCTTTTTTTTACCGCTCACAAACCTCTTTTTGCAACCAGGGGTGGGGAAGCTCTGTTCCTTTGCCTGGTGGACTATACACGAATTTTCATACTCACTGACTCCCAGCCCAGATATCTGAAGGGTGTGCTAGTGTGCTACAGTGAAAGGAGAATGATGATAAGTAAAGGGAGCAAAGTGATAGAAAGAGGAGCTCATCAGTGTGCTGGTTCTCCCTGCACTGTCAGGTCAGGGGGGAAAAGGGGGAAAGAAGGGAGAAAAGACACCTGTAAATGAAAGTGAAGCTGCGGCAGAAAAAAGATCAGATAATTTCCTCTGATAGGCAGGCGGTGGTAAGCTTTGGCAAAGAGCTGTTCTTTCTGAACTGACAGTCAGTGGTTTATTTAGTTCTTGTGCTGCCCTAGGCAACACTAAAATTGGGCACCCCACCACCACCACCACCATTCCCCTCCCTCCGGCCCCCGCCACCCGCCGCCAACCACCACGCCCACAGAGAGAAAGTTATTTAAGCACTCACCTTAACCTGTTTGGAAGGCAGCCGGCCATCCCTGGAGCCAAGCCCAGTGTCTTCCTTGTGCTTACACCCTCCAGCAGTGTGCAGTCTCCTTGGACTCCATTTTGGAGCACAGACAGTACCTCAC